CATGCACTTGTGTATTGCAACCTACATTGGTTCATCTCTTTCAGACCAATTCACTACTTCCTAGTTCCCTTCTCATAGTGGTCTCTGTCAGTTTAAGATTAATTATATTCACTTCTATACCATAAGCATATTAAACACATTCAAGCATTTGGTTTCCTTCCATTTTACTATTACTCCCATGCACAGTCTCCCCTTAGTGTGTGACCCATGTCCAATAATATTACTGTATTTGTTTTAGGTCTATAATCTACATATAAGGGAGAACATGTGACTTTTGACCTTTTGAACCTGACTAATTTCACTTAAAGTGATGTTCTCTAGTTCCATCCACTTACTTGTGAATGACAAAATTTCATTTTTCTTTGAGGCTGAGTCAAATTCTATTGTACATAAATACTACATTTTCTTAATCCATTTGTCAGTAGTGAGGTATCTTGACTGTCTCTATAGCTTGGCTATTGTGAACAGTGCTGCAATAAACATGGGAGAGTAGATGCCTTTGTAATACCCTAAGTCTCATTCCCTCAGGTATATTCTTAAGAGTGATGTTGCAAGATCAAATGGCAGATCTATGTTTAGTCTTTTTGAGAAGCTTCCATATTGTTTTCCAAAGTGGATGTACTAGCTTATATTCCCAACAGCAGTGTATGCAGGTTCCTTTTTCCCCTCATCCTTGCCAACATTTGTTGTTGTTGGTGTTCTCGATGATAGCTATTCCAGCAGGAGTGAGGCGGAATTTTAGTGTGGTTTTGATTTGCATTTCCTTTATGGCTGGGGATACTGAGAATTTTTTATGTGTCTTTTGGCCATTTGGACATCTTCCTTTGAAAAAGTTCTGTTTAGTTTAGTTGCCCACTTCTTTATTGGTTCATTAATTTTTGGGGAGTTTAATTTGAGCTCTCTGTATACTCTGGTTATCAGTTCTCTTGTCTGATGTATAGCTAGCAAAGATTTTCTGCCATTCTGTGGATGGCCTCTTCAATTTATTTTTTCAGATAGAGTCTGGTGCTTTTTGCCTAGGGAAAGCCTTGGACCATGATCCTCCTACCTGTGCCTCCCACATAGCTGGGATTATAGGCATGTACCACCATGCCTGGCAGTTTTACATTGCTCTGAGACCAAATCCCACTTATTGAGTTTACATTTCTGATCTTTAATTATCTATAGGAGAGTTCTGAAATACTTCCTTCTAATTTGAATGACTGTCATTTTGTCAGACCTAAAATCTTGCAATTAGTATGGAAAAGAGCAGGGAATACTCTGGAAGCAGTAAGTATGGGCAAGGACTTCCTCAGCAGTAGGTGTGAGCAAGTGGCCTAGCAACTAAGAGAAAGGATTGACAAATGGGACAACATGAAATTAAAAGACTTCTGCACCCCAAACCCTTAAAAAATTCTCATTGTAAAATAGCTTTTAGCATGATTAGTGAGACAAGAAACATTTATCAAAAAATATTGAGATTCTTGCCTTAAGAACAGTGTTTATTCATTTGCCAAAACTGTTAAGATTTATAATGTGCCAGACACTGTTTACTCATTATTTCTCCCCACAAAAGTCATACTTTACCTCTACGAGACATCTCTGAATCTAACAGGAAAGACAAATGAACTTATTATCATCATGTATTATAAACATAAAGGTAAGTACAGCAAGGATTTTTTAAAGTGATTTGAAGTACCTAATTTTATTCTGTGGAATTATGGAACACCTTGAAGAACATGTGTCATTTGAATTGAAACATGGAGAATGAGTAAACTTTCAAAAGGTAGACAGGGCTGGAAGCATTGCTCAAGTGGTAAAGAGCCTGGCTTGCAAAAGCAGAGCCCTGAGTTCAAACCCATTACTGTCAAAAGGAAAGGTGGATAAAGATGCTTGTGTTATGTGTATTGGGCATGGTGGCATCTATCTGCAACGACAAAACTGAGGTAAGAGGATCTTAAGTTCAAGATCAGCCTGGGCTACATAACAAGATCCTGTTTCAGAAGAAGAAGAAAGGAAGAGGGAGGAATAAAAGGAGGAGGAGGAGGAAGAAGAGGAAAAGAAGAAGTAAAAGAAAAAGTTTGCCTGTGTTTGGGTTTTGGGGGTAGAGGTTGGTGATAGTTTTAGAGTATGAATAGAATCATAGCAAGTCACTTGTAATAGATGTAAAATGAGTGTACTTCTAGATGTAAATCTGGAAAGGATAGATTGGGCCTATTGTAGATTACAAATGGTCACAATTCCTTTGCTGTTTCTCTTATGAAGATGAAGAACATCTTTTCCTTCTCCTTGAGTTACAAATGTCTTGCTTTGTTCAAAAGAATATACGGGAAGTGATGTTGTATAACCTTGGAGCTGTGTCTCTGCAGGCCATGTAACCTCTGGTCCTACACTTTTGAAACAGGTGCTACTATGTGATTAAATCTGAGCTAGCTACTGGAGAGGTTGAGGGATAACTGAGAAACCCTGTTCAGTCAATCAATGAACCAACATGGAGTGAAGCCATTATAGATTATTTAGCCTTAAAAATTATAAATTGATTTTCTGGGTGAATAAGCCCAGATGAGATCAGTGGGAGAACAATTTAGCTGATCTCAGGCAGATTTGCCAGTCCATAGAATTGCAAACTGATTAAAGATTGTTTCCTTAAGCAACTGAATTTTGTTAGAGCTATGTTGCCCAGCAGAGGTAAATTAATATGGGATCACTTTGTTGAAGGCCTATAATATGGTGAATAGTACTTGAATTTCTTCCACAAAAAAAATGAGTGTCCTTAAAAATGACTGATATAATTATGTCCACTTCCCCAAAACCTCACACAAAGATCAGTTACCATGTAAAAACTTTCTGCCTCATATCCCTTTCTTGTGTTTTGGCTATAGATTGAAAGATTTTTGTAGGAGCTTGTTTTGTCTGCAACATTTATAGATTCTGGGTTATCAGCTTCTCAGTATGGGATACATGATGTAAAAAGAAAACCCAGGGAATCCACAGCATGTTATTTCTTGGTTCTTAAGATTCCCAATTAATTTTTTCTCTGAGTTTTTACAGCTTTCTTAAGTTTGTTTTGGCCAAGGTTTTTAGTTACACTCAACAGGAGGAAAAGTAATAAATTCCACAGTTGACTTTTATTTCCTTTTCTTATTTTGGTAGTCAATACTTCCATTTGAACAATTAATGGTAACATGGCAGGTCACAAGTTGAGTGTCAACCATATAATCAACAGAAGGTAAACTACATGGAAGAAAATAAATACTCAACTTCAGTTGCCACTTCCAGTCTTCTAACAGAACTCTGGTGGCCATCAGATTTCATTTCTCAATTCTATATCAATTTCAGCCCAACTTACTTTTACATTTTTGAAGTAGCTTTTTCCTTCAGGTAAGAGTCCCCATTCTAGATGCCTCCCTTGACCTCACTTAACACTAGCCAGGGTTTAGTCTCTGATAAAAGCAAAATGGTTTGGGAGAATCAGACCATACACTGAAGACAATAGCTGGTGGTTTGTATTTTTTGAACATGTTTTTGACCTTTTAGTCAAATGTTTCATGGATGATAAATGTTCAAAAACTATAAAATGGATTGCCTTCCATCCTATGTTGAAAATCTTCTCATTTAGAAGAAAGACAGTAAAGGCAGACTCACAGGCATTACTTTTCTGAGGGTATGGAGATAAAAAGATCTTAAATGGTCCTCAGTTACCAAAAAAGAAAAAAAAAAAAAACAAAAAGCAGGGTACAAGGTATTTTCCAAAAGTATTCTCCACTCTTTGCGCCTAAGTTTTGTATCACAAAGAGATCATTTGTGTACATTACATTGTCTAGGCTGCTTTGCAAACTGACTTCCACTTTTATTTGGAATATTGAAGAATACGCTGAGAAATTAGAATGTGGAAGGAAGTGAGAAGCTAGGGTATTTATCCCTTCTCTCTTTGCATTGGGAGTTACCTTTGAAAGTGGCTGTGATGCCACAGAACCTATGGTTCTTAGTAATAGCTTGGCCCTCTGTATTCTAAATTCCCTGTTTGATAATGCTGGTTCCTGAACTCTGTAAGATTACCATCTTCCTTTTCCTCTTCAGCTCCGTGACAGGTAATATTGCTTTACTTCAATTACATCACTTAAATCTTTTTAATGATATTATTACCCCTTTGATAATCCTAAAACTAGATAGAGAGTAAGTGATAGATGTGGGATTTGACACCTGGCAATCTAACCAGCAAACATCATTCACTTACCACCAGGTTGGGACTATCAATATACCAAAATCAAATGCAGAAGTTGAGAAAAGCTACTTTCCCAAACCCTGATAGAAAATTCAAAGTATATCATGTATCTTCTTTAATTGTACATTGTAGATGACATTTTATAGAATGGCACTATAAGAAACCTAAAAATATATCTAAAAATGAAAGTAGATTTGTTTTGAGTTGGTAATTTCAATTCCTTCTATTATTCTGAAAGAAATCATACCACACAAGTGCTGCCTGAGTTCAATTTGGATTAACCACAGAGGATATTGAGTTCTATAATTCTTGAAGATATTTTTACCTCTCTTAGCTTATTCTTCAGCAAAATTTATTGATATTATGTATTTATTACTATGGATATGGTAAAGGAAAATCATATAGATTATGATAAAAAAGTTGTGTCTGAACATACAATCAAGAAGAAATTAGTTTTCATAAGGGCTGACATTTTAACATGTTTGTGACTAGGTTTTTTGTTGTTGTGTTTCTGTTTGTAGAGGTAGCTTCCCAGTTGCATTTGGAGAGACTTTAAATCTGGTTGTCAGCTAAAATAAAATTTTAGTGCATTCTAGGATGAAATCTTTTTTTCTTGTGGGCTACGGGTTTATTAATCAATGCCAAGGTTATCTGGATCTGATGATACCTCCATCTGAGTTAAACTTGCCAGCATTAAGTCTGAACAGATCATTCTACAATATGGATTTTTAAAGGAAATCTAAAAACAATAAAACAATTGAATATTTTTAAAGAAAAGTCAATAGAAATAAAGAAATTGTAACACATTTTTCCTTTTTTAATAAATACATAAAGCTCTTTACCATTTCCCTCAATTATTTTGATTAACATAATAATAGGATCTTTCAGAGCATCATTATACCAATTTTCACAGCCTGATGTAAAAGACTCATTTCACAGAAAGAATCAGGACTAGCATTAATAGATGAATGTCGATGCCACAACACAACAGTATAAGGCATATTTACACCATCTTAACATACAGAAACACCATAAACATACACAAAAAAAAATCGCACATCTGGAACAAAGAAAGTTCAATCTTCTAGACAGCTTACATTTATAGGCTTTGCCTGAAACTTATTTTTTTGCTTTAATTTTATAATATTTTCTTTCCAAGCAACAAACAGATCTTTCCTATTTCTTGTGTTTTATCTGTAACATTGTGCTCATGCAAAAAATAATACTTGTTTTATTGCATTAACATTTAAACAGTTTTAGATTTGGGACCTAAAACCATCATCTAAAATTTTTACTTGATGGTGCTTCACCCATATTGTCATTTTAGTTGGTGTGATATGATGATTTGTTTTTGGTGAGTTACAAAATGACAAACGTGTCCAGTTGGCCACAGTTCAAAAATCAGGATTCTCAGCTTCTTGATCATGCACATTTCACTTTCATTCCTGCAAAATGGTTTGAATTAGATAGATAAACCATTTTGATTCAACATTTATTGGCTTCATTTTAAAATCATGTTTCAAAAACAACAACAACAAAATAATAATGAAATAAAATACTGTCCCACATCCACTGTTCACAAAAGGAAGAGCAGCAAAATTCACACCGACCATTAGTCAGGTGGTGCGATACTGTAGTAAACATTGAATGTCATCAAAATACCACAGGAATATAATCATAACTATAACCCATATTTCTGCAGCAGTTCAGATTGCCATTGACGTTTGCGCTCTGGAAAATAATCTGGAATGTGGATTTTTTTAAAATCCTGAATACACTTTTTCATTTCTTCTTCCACACTTAGCTTCTCACAGACTTTCTTTTTGGAAAGATTTGTTTCTCGAGACTTGCTGATGAGTGTCTGAAAGAGTTCACTGTTTCTGCGTTTGTCTGGTGGAGGCATCCACTGCACAGGTGCCTTTTTGGAGGGGCGATCCAATGTTAAGGTGTTAGGCTGGTGAGCTGTAGCCTGCTGAGCATTGGGTGGGTTGTCTTGGGGAGTACTGGCCTCTGAGTGGCTGTCACAGCTGGAAGTAGAGAGCTCATTACAAGAAGTCCCACTTTCACTTCCTTTATCTGTGACTTTTTCATGTTTCCTACTTTCATGTTCTTGTTTAGGTGACACTATTTTCTGAGGTGGTCCTAAAAAAGAAAAAGAAAAAGGGCAAAACAAATGAATAAGCTGTAAAATCATATTAAGTATTATATTTCTATTTTGAACCAAAAACATTTATCATAAGAAAAACACTGTTTGTTGCACTAGTCCACATCTGAGTGATTAAACCCAACACCTAGGGCTTCAGTGTACATTGAAACATGCCGTTTGGTGATTAATTATTCATTACAATAAAGTTCAAGAGGTTTGCTCAATGAGCATTTGTGCCATAACAGATCATTGAGAGCTTTATGTTAAAAAACATGTTTTTATTATTTACCAGCTCCAGAATTCTGAAAAAGATTATGTGTATATTTTGGTAGTCTTATATCTGTTTCATTAGACAGCTGGTTCATTTCTGTTCCAAGCACTGTACTGGGTGATGTCCTTTGTGTGCTCATTTTCCTGTTGTAAAGCAAGAAAATACCATTACTCTATTTTACAAAGTAGCAGTCTTTGCGCCCAGAGGTGCAATAGCATCATTTATGCTTCCAAGTGGGAAACTGATTTAAATCTTATCCTCAGTCTCTTAATCTTGCTTCCTGTTTATTTCCTTGGAGAGAATTATGAACTTACTATTAAAAAATATATACAGACCTAATATTATGCTGAGATTATATAGTGTTCTTCTAAAATATGAAGCTTAGCATTTGAGGTAAATTACCTAGGAGGACGATTTTCAGAAAGTGTTAGTTTGCAAAGATAATTATTTCAAATACACCAGCAGGTTACTTCCAAGAGGGAGCATATTTTATTTTCCTTAGCTCCACTGTGGGATTAGGACCTCCATTTAACTTTTATTGAACACTATCTCACACCCAGAACTATAATAAAACCTTGATTAAATGAGTCTGAACCATTCAGAGATCTCAGAGACCCAAGTCTTTTATGAACAAATTGTATGAATTAGAGTGAGAGGAAGTATTTTCAAACAACTGAGCAGGGGGTTCTACTGTGCAGCTAGGGTTAACAATGGTTCAATTTGAAGACTTTAGCTGGGTATTGGAGTCACTTGAAAATGATTTTTGATGCAGTGGGATGAACCCAGGCCACCTGATTTTATGAAGGTGACACCTGGATATTGGGGTATTTAGTGAATATGGGTTCAGCTGAAGTTATGATATGCCATGCAATCTAATATATATGAAATGAGTTAGTAACTGGCATGGGTAGCTCACTCAGAAGAGTGAGGGGACAAATCAACAGAAAAATTTTCCTATTTAAAAACAGAAGACACAAAGTCAGGCTCTTTCCTATAGTTCTAGGTGCTCAGAAGGCTAAATCAGGAGGCTCACTTGAGGCAGGAATTCAAAGCCACCTAAGCAATAGAATAAGAACCTGCCTCAAAAATAAGAAAAAGTAAGAAGCTAAAAAAGGCAAGAGTTCTTTTCATGTATATAATGGAGTAGAATTAAAGATTTTTAAAAGCTTAAGAACTTTTTGGAATGACATTTTATATTATGATTGTGGTGCTGATTACAGGACAGTATACATTTGTGAAAACTGATAGAATTGCATCTCTAAAATGAGAAGATTTTTCTGTTTGAAACATATATCTGATTAATTGGACTCCCCCCAAAATACTTAAATGTACCTAAATGTATCTATTAGAAGGAAGGTCTTAACCAATATTTCAACCTCCTTCATCTGCAATCTGGTAGAACTAGAACAAATGCTAATGCTTATGTCTTCTTAGGAAGAAAGTGAGTTAAGGTATTTTGAAAGTGTTTGTAACCATAGCCATCACTTTAAAAGTTGTTATTTTGTCTTGTTTTCATCTTCTTCCATTTTATTAAATTTCTTCTGCCAGTGATTGTGGGGGTAAGGCTAAGAATGAAGTAGGGAGGTGCACTGCTAACGCTCCATGGTGCGCTCACCAGGTCCTGTCTCTATCCTCCTCTGTCCTGAGTAGGCATAAAGGCATGGCATCTTCCTTAGGTTTCTTTGCCTTCTTGTCTCCAGTTGGATTTGGCCAATGATAAAGAGTAGCAAGACAACACACTCAACTCATCCTACTCCCAGGATTACTAGGATCTTGCTCATATACCTCCTTCTTTCTCTTCCCCTCTTCCTCCTCCATCTCCTCCTCCAGAAGGTACACACCTTCAGGTCTCCAAGCAATTATTCCTGGGGTACTGCCCACACTCTTGCAAACTATCAATATTAAACTCTCTCAAATTACTTAAGTGTGTGTGACTTCTCTTTCTCTCTGGATATGTGGCTAAGAGACCCACACTGACCATTAGTATCTTCTTCATTGTCTAGAAGGATCTGTTTTTATTGGTGTCATATCTTAGTGGTGATATTGGGAAATATCATGTTTGGAATATTACTGACAGGAGTCAAATCCTTGCTATGAAGTAAATACTGATCTGTGGCTTTAAGCAAGTTACTTAGCTTCTGTGTGCCTTATTTGCCTATTCATAAAACTGCAGCACTACTTTCCTCACAAGGTTATTTTGAGACTAGACAAGGTACCACATAAAGGAACCTGGTATAATTATTTTCAATAATGAAAGTATATCAAGGTGTATCAGTGGAGTGTTTTGAATGTACATATGTCAATGCTGATTCCTGCAGACTTTCAGTGTGCTGACGGTGTGTATGTGGAGATGCAGGCAGTGGAGATGCAACATGTGTTGATCTAATTATCTCTATGGATAAATATGTTTCCAAGCAAGCATGAAACTCACCTTGTGAACAAAGTGGAGAATGCAAAAAAAGTGGTTTTTACTATTTCTGTCAATCTTCTGCATCACCTTAAACCAGAAGCCCCCCATCAGAAAACATAAGATTTTCATTCCCAATAATGAGTAAAGGATTAAGCTGCAAATACCCAAGCAAATCAATTCATATTTTAGATAAATGGGTGATGATGAAAATCCTTTCCTGTTAATAGGCAGAAAGATAGAGCACTAGACAGAAATACCTAAGCAGGAAAGTAATAACATCAGGATGGACACCACTATAGGATAGTAGATACCAGCAAAGGAAATGCTTCACTTTTTTTTTAATTAACTGAGAGAAAAAAATCTTTTTTTTTACAATATTGGGGTTTCATTTCAGGGCCAGGCAGGCATTTGAGGCATGTTCTCAGCCTTTTTTCACTTTAGTTATTTTTCAGATAGCATCTTGTGCTTTTTACCTAGGTCTAGCATCTGCCCATGATCTTCCTACTTATGCCTCCCATATAACTAGGATTAGAGGCATGAATTAGCATGCCTGGCTTCCTTGTTAAGATGAGGTTCTTGATAACTTTTTGCACAGACAGGCCTCATATTGTGATCCTCTTAATTTTTGCCTTGTCTGAGTACCTGGGATTACAGCCATGAGGCATCAAGCCAGATGAGAGAAAAAATTCTTAATGAGATAATCCAGGGATGACATAAAAGTTACACAGTTTGTATGTTAGTTAAATAGACTGTTAGTTTGATCATGGCATTGTAATTTATTGATGAAGATAAATGACCCCCAAAACACACGTGTAGATGTTGGCAATAAAACAATCAGTATACAACATATGTGTGATGGAAATGAATTATTTCCATCTTGTAAGACAGAAGATCAAGGAAGAATTCTTTAAAAAAAACATCAATAGGACCAGTGAAAAATTTTGTACTGAGCACCCACTATGTGCCAGACATGTGCTGGGATCAGGAAGGGCATGAAGATGCATAGTGTGAGTTCTCTTTTAATGAGGCTTACAAGCTTACTCTAATTCTGCATAGACTAGGATGCAAAGATGTGGAGAAAAGGACTGCCAAGTGTGTGGCCAAGGATCCCTATAGTTTTCAGAAAAGAAGTCCTAATTGAACTCCTCACACGGCCTTTAGTTTTCATCCAATTCTGTGTCCATGTCATTCACCATGCTTTTTAACACCTGTGTCACCTTCTCCTTTTCCTGCTCACAATTGATTGATTAGAACACGATCAAAGCACAGTCTGCTTTGTGGTATTTTCTAATTACTAAGTGCTCAAAGTGTGTAAGGCATTTTAGGATATTTTTTCTTTCTCCTATGTAAAGTTTAAGATCTGTGCAAAAGGTGCTGGGGATCTGAATTTACTATGGGTTTAAGAACTGAAAAAACTAGATAGTTACACACATTAATGAGAATTAACCTATATGTTTCTAATTTTACTACTCCTATTTCACAAGTTTTCTGTGGCCAAGAAGGACTTCTGATGAGACTCAACAGGTTCAGAGGTTTATATTATGACTTAAAGGAAATGTTTGATTTTATTTCATGCACATATTTACAGGTATCTGAAAACATGAAAGTTCTCTATATAAGTCATTAGGCATAAGTAACAGTTTCCCTTTTATTTACTCCAGTCATTTAAAAAAATTCTACTTGATTAAGCATACTTTAAACATTATAGATAACCTAGTGGATTCAAATTAGGACTAAGATACTTAACTGACTTCTGTGTTTTACGATATAAAATTGAGAAAAATATTTCAGAGGAAATAATGATTTACTTTGATTGGCTAGGTTTCTTGTGGATGTCTGCTGCTAATTGTAGGTATCCAGGGTTAATTTAAAGCTTTAATTTTACATCATTCTATTCAGCAGTCCAAAACCAATTGAAATGCCTTAAACATCATAGGAATGATAATTTAAATATCATCAAGACCTGCATATATGAGAATAGCATGGTCATTGTAACTTCTATGACGCCTCAAGTAATAATATAGAATTGAATTAGTTATCTCTTTGGTCTGTTTGAAGCGTTGTGTCTTGTGAATTGGGGCACCAAACAGACTTGGTTTAAAAAATAAAACATAGATGTGCTTTGGTGGTCTCAACAGCTAGGCTTTCTTCCACTACACAAACAAATCATCCTTAATTAATAAAGAATAGGCAACAAATCTGTGACTACCCAAAGTTCTTAGCTGAGACTTACCATTTAAAAGTTATTTTTTTAAAAAAAAAGTTCAATTCAGTGCATAGTTACACCCAAAAACCTTCAAATATTGGGACAATTA